TTGCCGGATTGTATGTTTTTATAGATAATTTCCCACGCCATGGAATAATGGATTCATCAAGCGGAAGTTCTTTCCTAGGCGTATATACCGATTTAAATTTATCTAATAAATAGCTCAGAATGGGCTGAATCTTCTCGAGAATTAGCTTATTAGAACCGGTTATTGTTTGTGTACGACACTAACTCACGACTTGAATAAAGTTGATCAAATCAAGACCGCGATGATCGTTGCGCTCACTTCAACTTAATGACGAGAGGGCTCGTTTAATTCGAGGTGTGGTGCTGATGAGTAAATTTTTGTCAATTATTAAACTAACTGTATTTATAAAACTCAACGGTGTAATACAAGAAAGTATGGTGTGTCCTCTGTGCTTGCTGATCCGAGTCTGACCAACATCAGAGTCAACCCCTCTTACATATCCCCTTTCATACATGGTCATACTCGGGCATAGGTTCACACACGCATTCACACATTCTCGCCTCGTGTCGATTTTCGATCACGACGTTCGACGCAGTTCCTTTCATTCAATCTTATCTAGCACGCACTCTCGTTCGAAGAAACTGTCACACGGCATAAACACTCTTCATTCGCACCGCACTCGCTCGATCTAAAACTAAACTCACGCATCTCACACCCTACATTTATGACTGTGGTTTCCGGTGAATTTATGAGTCCGAACATTCCGGCCCCTCTTGAACGGTCACGTTCAAAAATAACGGTGTAAAGCAAGAATGTTGGTGATTATATGAATGTTGTGTTATGTGTACTTAATCCTAAGTGTTGGTGATTTTACATACTAATCTTACAAATTAATTCTACTTATTCGTATGTACATATACATCTATATCTGAGACAGTATTGTTAGTCTTAAGCTAAGTATGTGTTTTAATTATAGAGTCATTGATTATCTTAGTTTATTCTACGTTAATTGGCAGTGGGGCTAGTTTTTTAACAGCCCGCTTGTAGGTTCCTTGTACAGTTTTGACTGTTACAACACGGACAATACCGTCTTCTCCGGGATGGATGCTGGTAATGCGGCCAAGGGGCCAACATAAAGGTGGTAAATTATCTTCCTTCAGTATGACTAATGTCCCCTCTCTAATATCCGCGTCTCGATGTCGGTGCCACTTCTGACGAACGGTAAGTTCGTTTAAATACTCTTTGTGCCAACGAGTCCAAAAATGTTGGCGTATTTGTTGTGATTGCTGCCACTGGGATAATCGACCTGCCTTGGTGTCTGTAAAGTTTTCCTCGGGAATACTCGTTAGTGAATCGCCGATTAGGAAATGACCTGGGGTGAGGGCATTCAAATCGGTGGGGTCGGAGGATAGAGGAGTAATGGGCCGAGAGTTTAGGATAGCTTCAATTTCTGACAAGCAAGTGGTGAATGACTCGTATGTGAGGAGTGTATTTTTTAATATCCGACTGCTGTGATATTTTAAAGATTTCACCGCGGCTTCCCAAATGCCACCAAAGTGTGGTGCTCGTGGTGGTATAAAATGCCAGTTAATGTTATCGTTGGCTAAGTGGTGCATGATAATGTTATTATGGGTTCGAGAGCGTATGATTTTATAAATCTCTTTCAGTTCACGGTTTGCTCCAACAAAGTTAGTAGCATTGTCTGAATAGAGATCCTTTGATTTTCCGCGTCTTGCAAAAAATCGACGAAGTGCCGCAATAAAGGCATCGGTTGTCAAATCACTCACTAATTCTAAATGAACTGCCTTTGAGATAAAACATATGAAAACTGCTACGTAGCACTTGAGTTTCTTTGTATTCCGAATCTTCTTCTCTTTTATGAAAAAAGGACCGCAGTAATCGACACCGGTGGTTAAAAATGGACGCGTATAGGTGACCCTGTGAGTAGGCAAATTACCCATTTCATATTGGGGTATTGGAGGGCGTGCTCGGAAACATGTTACGCATTTACGCAAGATTGTCTTTATCCGAACTTTCCCATTGATGGGCCAGTATTTTTGACGTATGGCATTTAGGGTAGCTTGTGTACCTGAATGTCCGTGCGAGGTATGATAGTGTCGGATTATTAGATCGGTCACTGGGTGGTTATACGGTAGGATTAAAGGATGTTTTTGGTTATAGCTTAATGTGGAGTTCACTAGCCTGCCGCCTACACGGATGAGGCCTGCTGAGTCTACGAATGGTTTGAGAGATGCGAGGCGACCATTGTAATTGGTACCTGATTCTTGCTTGAGATTTTTTAATTCATTTTGGAATTCGTCTAATTGAGTTGCTTTGATTACAATGTCGTGCGAACATCTTAATTCGTTAGTACTTAACTGTCCAATATATTTAGATTTTTTATGCGCATTATTGAAAAATCTGTAATAATATGCTACAATTCGAATCAGTGTGGTGAGCGATGAGAATTTTCTCAGAATTTGGCATTGTGCACGCTTTATGGTCATTACTTGTAGTACGGTTACGGGTCGTTGTTCTGGTAGTTCGATTGGTGACAGCTGGGTTATTGGCCAACGAGGTTCGTCTTTTGTTAGCCAGAGTGGACCATTGGGCCAAATTTTGGAATTTAAAAAACCTATGGGGTTGATGCCTCGAGATAAAATATCTGCTGGATTATCTGACGAAGCAATGTGCCGCCATTGATTAGAATTGCTATGTTGCTGAATCTCGCTTACTCTATTCGCTATAAATTGTTTGAGAGTGTGTGGGGAAGCTCGGATCCAGTGCAAGGTAATCATTGAGTCAGTCCAGAAGTTAATACTATTAAATGTAACTTTAAGTGCTCGGATGCTGGATTGATATAAATTTGTCAATAGAACTGCGGCACACAGTTCAAGTCTAGGTACTGATTGTACCTTCAATGGTGCTACTCGCGACTTTGAACATACTAATTTAACAGAATGCTGGCCATGAATATTAGTAGATCGAATGTACAAACATGCTCCATACGCCCGTTCACTGGCATCACAAAAACCGTGCAATTGTATATTTTGAGTATGATCGTCTATGATTAAGCGTGGAATATTAAACTGTCGAATAGTTATTAGTTGCGATTGGAATTCATTCCATACAGAATAAATGTCAAATGGTACAGATTCGTCCCAATGAATGTTTAATTTCCATAGTTCTTGCATAATTAATTTTGCCTTGACTATAATTGGGCCTAATAATCCTAGTGGATCGAATAGCTGGGCAATACGCGAGAGAATACCGCGTTTTGTGAGTTTCGGGAGAGAATCACATTCCTTCACCGAGTATCCTATGGTGTCGTTTTGTGGATGCCAAAATAGACCTAGCGTTTTTTTTCCTATCAGTGAAGCTTAGCGTCATATGTTGGTCTTTGGAAGTTTGCAATGGTTTTATTAAACGCGGGTCGTTGGAAGCCCATTGTCGTAGTTGGAAACCTCCTTTTTCGGTGAGATTGATCAATTGATCGCGGAGAATTTCTGCTTGAGTAAAAGTGGGGGCTCCTGTCAACATGTCATCGACATAAAAATCATTTTGTAGTGCATGAGCTGCAAGCGGAAAGGAGGAACCTTCGTCTTCTGCAAGTTGTTGTAAAGTTCGAGTGGCTAAAAATGGTGCTGAAGCTGTACCGTACGTGACTGTGTTTAAAATGAATGTTTGAATTGGGTGATTGCGGTGCTCACGCCACAGAATTTTGTGGTATTTTCTGTGATCGGCTGAGAGTTCAATTTGTCTATACATTTTGGCAATATCCGCGGTGAATACGAACCGATGTGTTCGAAAACGAGAGACAAGTGAGAATAAGTCGTCTTGTATAGTAGGACCTACCATTAAGGTGTCATTTAATGAAATGCCCGTATTAGATTTCGCAGAAGCGTCAAACACGACCCGAATTTTGGTGGTAAGGCTCTCGGCTTTCGTGACAGCGTGATGCGGCAGGAAATAACCATCACGCAAATGGGTGTTGGTGGGTGTCATGTGACCTAATTCTTGATATTCTTTGAGAAATTGAGAATATTGTTCCATGATTTCTGTGTTACGATCTAATTGTCGTTCCAAGGCAAGGAACCGCTTCAATGCTATGGTATATGATTCGCCTAAATCGCGACGGGTATTTTGCAGGTAGTGGGTCTCGCAATTGCTTTCTTCGAGTGATAAGTGCTTTTTTGAAGGTTGCTCTTCCAATTCCCAGAACTTAGAAATTTGTTGTTCTAGTGTGCTTGTAATAGCATTGCAAGTGATGGTTGCAGGGTGAGATTTTGTTCTGAATTCTCCTACGACTACCCAACCTAATTTGGTTTTGTGGAGTTTCGTATCATTTGTGGCTAATTTAATGCAACCGAGTGAAAGTAAATCCCAAAATATTTGGGCGCCTAACAAACCATCTACCTCGGCGGATTCATGAAAGCGTGGATCTGCTAGCGGTAGATTTTGAGGGACATTTAGAGCATTTCTATCGATCGGAGTTGTAGGCACATGTTGCGAAACTTTGTTTATAAGTAAGAATGTGAGAACTTGAGAGTGGTTATTGTGCCTAGATTTAATAGTTGCACTGGTTTGACTACTAATCGTTGATGACATATTGTTCGCACCGGAAAGTGGAATTGTGATTGATTCGAGTGTTAAGTTTATTTTATTAAAAAATTTATAAGTCATAAAATATGCATGTGAACAGGAATCTAGCAACACGCGACAAAGGTGAGTTTGTCCGACGTTATCAATGACTTCAATCAGAGCAGTGGCTAAAAATATTTCCGATGTGCAATGTGAATTGAGATAAGTGGTGAGCGACTGCATACTTGAAGGGGTATCTGGTACCGCATCCATGTGCAATAGAGTATGGTGCTTCTGATGACAACGTCTACATGTGGTCGATCTGCATTCGTTAACCCTATGATTGGGACGAAGGCAATTAGCACAAAGATTTTCAGCTTCGACCAGGTTATGTCGATCTCGGATGGAAAGTCGGGTAAAAGTTTCGCATTGTTGGGAATAATGTGTATCGGTACAAAAGCTGCAGAACGCTGTTACCTGGGTGGTAAGCACTTGCGATACCTGCGGACGATTGTCGCGGGAATTTGAGTAATGCGATGCCCGATGCGAGCTCTGAGTTCGATGTTGATATGTTGAGGGGTTGAGGTTAGAATATGATTGTTGGTTGCTAAGAGGTTCTAAGATGCGACATCGGTCATGCAAAAAATCAAAGAAAGTTTCTAATGTAGGAAATGTATTATCACGTGTGTGTTCTCGCCATTTTAAGGATGTGTCTTTATCAACCTTTGAAAGAAGAAGATGAATGAGCAACGTATCAGCGGTGGGTTGTTTTAAAGGTTGGAGCGAGCGGTAATGTGCCTCGACTTTACTTAAAAATGACCTGAGTTCCCGATGAGCCGGCCTGGTAATATTGGGTAGGTCAAACAATGCCGTTAAATGGTTGGTGACGATTACCGCGGGATGGTTATACCACTTTTCCAAAATTGTCCATGCTATTGTATAATTTGCGGCTGAATTACTGAGTGATTCAATGCCTTTCAGTGCTTCTCCTTTGAGACACGACCGTAAATACATCAATTTTTTCCCATTATTGATTCTAATATTATCATGCACCGCTGATTGAAATTGATCTGCAAAGGCAGGCCATTCTTCGTAATTACCGGAGAACGTTGGTAAATTGAGTTTAGGCAATTGCACTTCGGCTTCTAAAGATTCGATTTGACTGGACGGAGACAATTGACTACTTCGGGGATTAAATCGCTGTGCTTGAGGTGGATGATTTTCGGGAGCAGTTACTGGTATGAACTCTAAAGCGCGTGCTCGAACTTGTATGTAAAAGGATTTTAAAGCCATTCGTTCATGTAATAACTCTTGAGTATCATCTAATGTATCTAATTCTTGTTGAACTTTCTGGAACACCGCGTATTCGGTTTGTATATCGTCTAGCCGAAGAAGAATTTCACGATCGTTTGTGCATAACTCAGGCTTATCGAGAATGTCTTTAAGTTCTTGTACTTCAATGCGAAATGCTTCACGTTTGGCCTTAAGGGCTTTGACACGTTCCTCGTGAGATGGAGCCATTTTAATCACTTGATTGATAAGAGGTAGAAATAGATTGTGAGACAGAATGAAGTCGGCGATTCAACTAAGTATTGAGATTGACTTACAGAACCGCGGCGAGGTGCGATGCTAGTGCCTTCCGGTGTATGTTAGAGATGATTCCCCGGAAGATCCCCTTTGAAGGATACTCTCCAGTGTTGTTTGAAGATGGTGTAGTGGAGGCTGCTGCGTTTTCGGCAATGAGTATTCCTCGATGATGGTGTGAAGGTTGAGGAAACTGCGCTTTCTCGGCAGTGAGTTCCTTGATGATGGTGTGGTAGGGTGAAGAGACTGCTCGTCTTTGGCAGCGAACTTCCTTGGTGTTGATAACACAACTTGAGGAGGTTGCACTTCTCTGGCAGTGGACTCCTGGATGGTGATGCAAGGCTGGCTACGCTTTCCTGGTAGCGGACACTTCACAGATGGTGTGCTGGACTAAGGCTTGAACGCTTAGATCCGGCTCGAAAGACCAAAAATGTACGACACTAACTCACGACTTGAATAAAGTTGATCAAATCAAGACCGCGATGATCGTTGCGCTCACTTCAACTTAATGACGAGAGGGCTCGTTTAATTCGAGGTGTGGTGCTGATGAGTAAATTTTTGTCAATTATTAAACTAAATGTATTTATAAAACTCAACGGTGTAATACAAGAAAGTATGGTGTGTCCTCTGTGCTTGCTGATCAGAGTCTGCCCAACTTCCCTCTTATATATCCCCTTTCATACATGGTCATACTCGGGCATAGGTTCACACACGCATTCACACATTCTCGCCTCGTGTCGATTTTCGATCACGACGTTCGACGCAGTTCCTTTCATTCAATCTTATCTAGCACGCACTCTTGTTCGAAGAAACTGTCACACGGCATAAACACTCTTCATTCGCACCGCACTCGCTCGATCTAAAACTAAACTCACGCATCTCACACCCTACATTTATGACTGTGGTTTCCGGTGAATTTATGAGTCCGAACAGTTTGAATGTTTGAAAAATGCCACGTCCTCCAAATCCGGCGAAATCTATTACGCGGCATTATAGTGGAGAACGATGGGGTTCTCGTATAAAAATCGGAGAACCAGTAATCATCTTTTACATCTTTCTTTACCTGGCCCATCATTATAATTATACCAAGAAATTTTTTCATCTCGGCTAGAGTAATATCACGCCACTTTGACATTTTCTTCCTCTCACTCATCTTGTCCTTATTTTGCTGGTAATAGATGTTGGATTCATTGATCATTAATTGAAACAAATCATTGCCAATAAACAATTCGACGACTTCTTTTATGCTTTTCTTATTAGTAGGAAAAATCTTTGGGCCGGGCTCACCAGTAAAATCTGGTATGTCAGGAATTTTATCGACATCTGACCATACTTCACTGTAACTATGCGATTCTGTGGACATTTCACAATCACTGGAATCATCGGAATCGCTTGAATGCTGTAGTGGAATAGCTCTTGATCTTCTTCTTGGACCTACATCACTATCGCTGTCCTCGACTTCTATATCAGAATCTTCTGAATGTATCGAATATTCCGATAGAGAGTCAGCAATATGCTCATTAATAATTTCACTCATATTATATGGGTAAAAAGTTACAGAAGAAAAAAACTTGTTACACTGTTCAACCAAAAACATAAGCGTACGAAAGATATACTGTTTGCGGAATACACTGCTTGAGAGTGATTTTGTCTTTAGAGTATGACAAATGAAGATCGGCGTAACCATGGCAAGTAAATAGAAATCGATGTCTAAGACACTCATACCAGCAAAAAAAATCCACATCATCGTGCAGCAGCTACTCGAGCGACAGACTCGTAAACCCGCGTTTTCACGGGGCCGGCGCTCAAGCGACAGACTCAGAAACCCGCGTTTTCACGGGGCCGGCTGTCAATGTGTTAAGGTCGGGTGAGCACGCCGGCTTATTGAATAGTGGAAATATTCTCCTTTAAAAAATATTCCTTAACAATTTTAGCAGTATGTACTGCAGCATTATCTTGCTGGAATATATATGGCATAACAGCAATGCGTTCTGCGTATGTATAAATTTGATTTTTTATTAATTCGAGATAACGGACGCTATTCATTGTGCCCTGAATAAACTTAATTTCTGTTTTTCCTTTATATCCGACACCAGCCCAGACCATTACTCCACCTCCATGCATTTGACGTCGAATTTTTGTTAGTGGTTGTTTACGAATATCACGATAATAATACGTACATCCGTCTGGGCCATCAAGGTTGAACCTTTTCTCATCCGTAAAGATTACCTTTCTCCAAGTCTTTTTCCAATGTATATGTTCTCTTGCAAATAACAAACGTGCCTCCTTATCTTGCGTTTAATGAAGGTTTTGCCACTATTCTAGACCGATTTATAATGTGACTAGTCTGGAGTACACGACGAACATTTTGTATATTTGTTTTAATTCCAGCTTTCTTAGCGATCTCCTCCGCAGTGGCACAAGAATTGGAAGCAGCACGTATTATTGCTCGTGTATCGCGTTCAGATAATACCGCTGGCCTTCCTGTACTTTTCTTCATTCCGTATGCATTTGTATCTTTCAGTAAATTATATATAACTTTACGACTGCGATTAACTTCTTTTGCAATTTGAGTAATAGACAACTTTTGTTTCCTCAAAGATAAAATTGTGCTAATTTCGCTTTCACTCAGCTTTCTGCCACGACCCATTATGATAGCGTTATAACAAAGCTCTATACGCAAATTGTACGTAATAACTCTGTGCAAGCTCACGAAACACTGAAGAATATGTAAACACAGTTCAAGTGTGCTATCATTTTGTCTGCGTCGAATATTATGTTTCTCTTCCAACTAAGAGAATTCACTGAAGTAAAGTCAATCTATGTTATGTTTATATATTCGTAGAAGGTACGTTTTACATGTAACTCAGAGTTTTCACGCTAGCACAATCTTAAAACGAGAAATTAAAGATAGCACGCGTGTGCTATCTTTTTGTCTGGAAATATAGATTTCGTCTTCGTCTACATAGACGACATTCTTGTTGCTTCCGAATCCTTAGAGGATCATGGAAAGCACTTACGCGCTGTGTGTCAGAGGCTCAAGGAATTTCACCTCCGTTTGAATGCCGACAAGTGTGTGTTCGGCGCCTCCGAACTCGAATTCCTCGTATATTCGATCAACAGTGCGGGCATTCGGCCCACGACGAAAAAGGTTGACGCGATCACCAATTTTCCCTAGCCAAAAACCATCGCGCAGCTTCGACGTTTTCTGGGGATGGCGAATTTTTATCGCCGAAACCTTCCCAACGCGGCACAATCACAGGCCCCGTTGAACGCGTTTCTCACCGATTCTCGGAAGAATGACAAACGCGATTATTGTTTGGTCCTCGGACGCGGTACATGCGTTTGAAAAGATAAAATCAGACCTTGCCAACGCAGCGTTACTGGTGCATCCACGTGTAGGCGCAGATTTGCGTGTCGTCACGGACGCTTCAGATTTCGCTATGGGAGCGGCTCTCGAACAGCGTTCTTCAGGTTCGTGGGAACCCCTCGCATTCTTTTCGCGGAAATTCTCTTCGGCGCAAAAGAAATACAGCACGTACGACCATGAACTGACCTCCATATACGAGGCCATCAAGTACTTCCGTCACTTCCTCGGGGGTCGCGACTTTAGGGTGGCCACTAACCACAAACCCTTAGTGTATGGCTTTATGCAGCGGTCCGATAAGGCTTCTCCTCGGCAGCTGCGCCAGCTTTCATTCATCGCGCAATTTACTACGCGTATTGAACATGTGACAAGCTCGGAGAACACCGTCGCCGATTCCCTTTCGAGGATTGACGCTGTTCGTCTCCCTTTGGAATTCGACCTGGACGAGCTTGCAAGATTGCAAAGCTCTGACACTCAGCTCCAGCTGATTCGCGGTGCTTCGGATCATTCGTTGAAATTGAAGAGCATCCTGTGGGGACCAGAGCAGGCTCCAGTTTTCTGTGAGATTTCTGGCGAAGCAATTCGTTCGTATATTCCGGCGAGCCTTCACGAAAGAGTCTTCCACACCTTTCATGATCCCGCCCACCCTAGCGGCAAGATCACTGACCGCATGATTCGTCAGAGATATGTCTGGCCGGATATGCATCGAGATATTGCATCTTAGTGCAAGAACTGTGCCGCGTGCCAGCAATACAAGATCTCGCGTCATGTCCGTCAAACTCCAGAGCATTTCGTTGCCCCTGATGGTCGTTTCGACCAAGTTCATATTGACATTGTAGGGCCTCTGCCCTCGTCACAGGGATGTACCTATTGTCTCACGATGATCGACAGATTCTCTCGTTGGGTGGAGGCTGTTCCTCTGCCAGCTATTACGGCCCAGACGGTAGCCAGGGCGTTCTACGACACCTGGATTTCACGATATGGTGCACCTAAGGTCATAACTACCGACCAGGGTGCTCAGTTCGAATCCCGTCTGTTTTCGGCACTCCTGTCGTTAATAGAGTGCAGCCGTATTCGTACGACGGCGTATCACCCCGCGTCAAATGGCATGATCGAGAGATGGCATCGCGTTTTCAAAGCCGCAATCATATGCCATGCAGATGCAAGCTGGTCGCGAGTTCTCTCCACAGTTTTGCTGGGTCTCAGATCCCATGTGCGAGTGGACACTGTGCGTCCCCCGCAGAATTTCTGTTCAGCACCACTTTGCGCCTTCCCGGTGAGTTCTTCCTTCCGGAAGATATTTCACCCGACCCAAATTTCTTCATCGAGGAATTCCGCGAGTACATGCGTCGGGTTCGTCCGGTGCCCGTAGCGCACAAGCATGCGAAACGTGCCTTCTTTTGCAGCGCGTGTCCGATCGCGTCTTTAATATTGACGTTAACGGTTCCGCCAGAAGTGTCTCCGTCGAGCTATTAAAACCCGCGCACTTCGTCCCGGATAATCTCGACGATGCGAGCGGGCCCGTGAGCAACGATTCGTCCGCGACTTCGAGGCCGCTTAGTTTAAAAACGTACTCGCGCAGAAGAGTCACGTTCGCACCCGATCCAGCGGCGCACGTATAAAGCGCCCTAACTTAGTTTTAGTGCCTGCGTTAGTTTTAAGACTTATGTGTACAGCATATTGTATCGTGTGGTTTGTTTAATTAGCAATAAGCAGCGTATTATATTGTATGTCTTGTTTCATCATAATGTATATTTTGTGTGACTATATTCTATGTGTTGTTTAATTAGTGATAAGTAGCGTGTTAATATATTGTATCATAGCATTTGCGATTGCATTTTCGAAACACGCGTGCCTATCTAGGTAGTGTATACACTCGGGGGGGAGTGTGTAGAGAGCGGATACTGCCGTCCCTCTCCCTCCGTAGTGTCGCCTTCTCCCGCAAGGAGAAAGAGGCGCGTGCATCGCGTTGCGGCAGATCCATCGTGACCGCTGAGTGACCGCTGTTGCTACAGCACGTTCACGGCTCGTAGACAATAAAGTCTTTGTTCCATACACGTGGCAGTATTATTTAACCTCCGCGCTACAGTGGCCGGGACGTAATATCCCTAGCATCATTCAACGCCACAGTAAAACATATGGTGCTGCTATCTAACGGTGAAAATGTGGTACTAACTAGCCAATAATTTGAGGATCGTGCCGTAAATGCTTAAATGGCATGACAAGTATATGTGCAACATTCCATTGTTCTTAGATCTACAATGATAAAAATGGATAAGAAACTGTGTAAATTGTAAATATACTTGAATACTTATATATGAAACCTATATTGCTTATTGAAAATACGAAGTCATTATAATTACAAACAGTTATTATATACGCATATGTAAAAGTTTACTTGTTTACAGTAAAAACCATATATATATATATATATATATATATATATGATTTAGAACTAGATGTCTTTCTAAATAATAATAACATGAATTTACGAGAACCAAAGAAGAAACGACGTGTGAAATTAAAAGAACAACCACCATTTCCAATTGTATTAGGTGATCAATATAATTGGGTGACTTATACTGCGCATCTTACAGAATTAGGATCATGCATAATAGATGCGAATGAAATTGCTGCAGTACATTCTATGGTAACCATAATTTATAAATTTATGAATGTCTGATGCATGAATGTATATCTCCATTGTAATTATTATTATTTGAATTTGTTGAGTAATCATTAAATTATTGATTTTATGGATTTATAGAAATATGTAGAATACAACCAAATAATTCCCTTAATGGATTTTTATTTTATTTGGAACTTCTTTGAGTCTTTAATGGAAGAGATATACTTTAAATGGAAGCTTATGTTTACTTCGCACTTTAAAATCTATATTTGCTCAAGAATCTGGAGTCTACTAATCGCACATTTTAATTCCATATAATTATATGTGATACAATTACATATACACAAATGTCATAATTTCTTCAGGGGTATTTTGGTAAAGGTTCATTATCACGTGGTTTTCCTGCATTTGGAAAAGCGCGATATGGAGCACCTCCTGTTATAAGGAATAGACAATGGATTCGTAGACAAGAATGGTTGAAACAATTTAATGAACTTAGCATGGAGCCTAATAGTAGTAAATATATAAATTCAGATGAACAGAAAAATGAAGAATCTAACATTGTAAACCTTAAAGGTGAAAAAAATTCCTCAACGAGTTCAGCAATAGAAAATACACCAGACATAATTGAGATAGATACAAATTCTACTTTTTTTAATAAAAACAACAGAAACCAAAAAGTGACTGATACTGAGATAGAGATTAGTCAAATAAGCCTTGATACATCAAATGGAGATGATGTATATGTTATTGTAAATAAAGACATTAATGAACAATCTTCTGATTCTAAAAGTAATGATAAAGACTGTACTGATGTGGAAGAGAGAGACTCTAATTGGTTAGAAGATCTTAATTTTAAAGAGGATGACATGTGTATTACTGACAATACCAGTGTTCAAAGCAAATTACTTGTCCTGTCCGACAGTGATTCAGAAACTGAAAATTATTTAAAAGAAATAAACCCTAAGATTGCAATTGAAAGTTTTCCAATTCAAGAAACATTGCACCTTACGTTCGAAGAAACATTTTTCCTTTTATATGGTTTAGGTTGCTTAAATCTAATAGATTTTGATGGTAATTTGTTAGATATCGATAGTGCTTGGCATCTTTTTTGCAAAGCTGATAGAACTTTTGTACAGAAATATGTTGTATACCACTATTTTCGAAGCAAAGGGTGGGTAGTAAAGCCAGGATTGAAATATGGTGGGGACTTTTGTTAGTATTAATTTATTATTATTTATTTAATAAAGTAAAAAATAATACAGTAATAACAAATTTGAATATTTTAGTGTTATATAAACAAGGACCACCATTTTATCATGCATCATATATTGTAATAGTGGATGTTTTAGAAGGAGATTCATTAATTAGAGATGAAAATAAATCTATGCACAAATCAACATGGAACAACATATTAGGATTAGAACGATTGTCAGAGACTGCTGCAAAGGTAATTCATACAAGCTATCTATATTTTTAAATTTTCTTTTACGTTAGAACTGTCTTAAATTTTATTTTCTGTTCTCAATGTAGGAAATACTATTTGCACAAGTACTGTGGCCATCTTCAATGTCACAAACTGCTAGCTCACTTAATGTGGATATTTTATCAGAATTTTCTGTGAGAGAACTATTATGGAGAAGATGGAATCCCAAAAATAATAAAGATGAAGATAATGAAGATTATGATTCATACTAACAGGTTGTGTAACACATTTATTATATTTATAACTATGTTGCAATTCAAAACTATAATTCTATTAAAAACATATAAGTATGTGTCTTCCAAGTTTATCACTATCACTGTAAAAAACTGACAGTTTCATTAAACAGAAAGTAATAAGTAGACTGTGGATGTCCACGCACTAATTTTCAGAAATTGAAATCAAGTAGAAGTTTATGTATTAAAGGTTTTATTATTTCTTCAATCAAATAAAAGCCCTATTAAATAAATGTCATCAGACTCTTTACTACACTCAATTTTAAACAATAATGTATGCTGTAAATGTACAAAATATACTGTCTAATAATAACTAACAATAATATTGTTCATTACTATTACTTCACAAATTTGTAATAAATCTTTACATTTTCATTAATTAGAAACGAGTACAAATATTTATGAGGATACTTGTTTCATAGATCTGTACTTCTTGGGCACACCAGTTATTCGATATTGTTTCCTTTCTTCTAAATATTCTTGTTTACATTCTTCCTTAAACTTTTCATCACAATACCATTTTTCCATGCACAATTTTAATGCAGAATTTTGTTCCCTACATTTAAAACCCATAAAATAACTAGCATCTTTACAACACTGTGAAAATTCTAAAAATCAAATACATATAAACATGTTATATAATATGTTCAAGTACACACACATGATTCAATAATTTTGAAATGCATGATATTACCTTCAACTTCTTTTACACATTTCTGTTCCCTTGCCTTATCTCGCATTTTCTGCGGTATGAGTACATCTTCCTCTACCTTTCTTAATGAGTAATCATTGGGATCACCTATAAAATACGTCTAAACGAAATATGAATTTATCCAATAATGTTTACAAATACCTTGACATAAAAACACTCAGGTTATCGCGTTATTAAAGGATAATACAAAACAAAATAGAAAAATCTGCTATGTTTCAAGAATCATTATAAATCCAAAATATTACAACTTTAACCAATTTGTTTTCTGATAAACAGGGTTAAAATCAAGTTCCTAACCTCATTTTCATCATAAATTAAGTTAGATTTAGTTTCTACGTCAATTTTGTTTTATTTATTCTCATTACCAATGTATTAATTGTAATAATTTATCGAAATTACCTAAGCCATGTGGTCCTTTTCTCGATCTCAATTTATTCGTCGTTTCGACTTCGCCAGTCATTTTAGCGTTTCTCTCAGTTTCTCTCAGTTTTTGCAACTACCAGTGGTCAGTGGTAGTCTACCACCGCACCATCATCTATAAATCACTATAAATGATAATCGTCCCCTATCAGAATTACCACAGGTAGCTACTTTTCTTTTACTTTTAACCATGAACTTGATGCATTTTTGTAGAGATGTTGGGATCTTGCCTCGCGTAAACGTACCACGTGCGCCCTGTACACTGCGTGGTGCTTATTGATACTAATCTGCGTTACGTTATTATATAAATAAATATACAAATTATAACTTGATACAAATATATACATAATAACATAAATATATAAATTTGTACACGTGTATATATTTATGTAATTATGTACATATTTTCGTATACGTGCTTAATTATATCGTCGCAGATTAGTACCAATAAACGACACACGGTGTGCAAGACGTACATGGTCTGTCTACGCGAGACAAGACCCCTAGGTCTCTACAAAAATTTGCCAAGTTCATGGTTAATAGTAGCTACCCATGGCAACTCTGCCCCCTATAGACCGCGCTCGTGAGTTGTCGTGAGTGTGCAGATTTGAGAGTTGACGATCCGTTGCTGCTTGGAAAAGGAATGTTCATTTAGTAGTGACGGACAAACGATAAATAGCATTATTTATTATCAGCAGTATAATTCAATAGGTAAGCGAAGGAAACGGCATGATTCGCGTTATTTAAATTAGTATGATTCGTTTCTGACATGTAAATGTCAAGTTAACCTCAGCGAAGATTGATGTACGTTCAGCGTAAACGTGCAATTTAGTAATTAATGTGTTTTCTGTTTCTAATTCATGATTGTACTTGTCTATACTATTTTCAGAAACGTTCACGAAATAAGAAGTAAAGAAACATGGATCGACTGTTGAGATTAGGCGGATGTATGCCAGGTGTGAACCAAGGACCTCCATCTTCAGATGCCCCGGTTGTTGACACTGCGGAGCAGGTGAAATTATTTTCACTCTTATCACTGATGAATGATTATCATTAACCCCTTGTCCTACCCGCTAACTCCCGATTGCTCGGGCCACAATAAACAATAAGGTCCGTCACGCGTCGAGTCATTTAACTGTTTAGCCGAATTTTCACGAATGAAGTACCACGAGCCAGGCTCGTGTTGTTTACGTTTGGTCCGAACGAAGTACCACGAGTCAGGCTCGTGCTTATTGTTTTTGGACCAAATTTCATACCACAAGTCTCACTCGTTGTTGTAGGACAAGGGGTTAATAAATACCAAGTGACCCAAGTCAATGAGACTCGAGACATGACTGATTCATTGATCACAGAATAATTACACTTTTGATTACGATAAAATTAGTAAGTGTATAATATACGAAAAATACATATTTATTAAATGGTTAAATGAAAGAATAAATTAGGTATCAAATAGCTTTTTTTTACTCACAAATAAAAGTGATTACTGAAAACTATTTACACACATATGAGACTTTTATTATCCTATACATGTATTACTGGACTTGTGAATAGCTAACAATAACCTTTAGTGAATGACTAAAAATTACTGATTTAGAATTACAGATTACAAATGTTAATAATTTTTTTTATTAGTCAACAACAAAATAATTACAAAATAATCAGTTACTACCTAACTCTGACGTACTTTAAGAAATTCTTTTAAAAACTGTAAAGGATATTGTGTTTGTTTTTTGTTGTATATATATATGGTTTTCAAAGTTTAGATACAAACTATGTTGGCTGGTAGAACTCATTAAATAAATAAAAAAGTTTTAGTGAAAATATGTTCATACAACACTTCAGAAAAACCATTCCTAAAACATTAAACGTTAGAACATGTAAAACACAAGAAATCGATTTTTTGGGGGATTTTCTATGTATACCTTATGAAGTCCCTGTAAGTCATTTTTACATTTATTTTAATCAAGCTGGAGAATTTGTCTAGTTACTTTATTTTGAAGAACATCCATAAGAGAAGTTGATTGTTTCATTTACTGATAATTGCAGTTACATGTAGCTAATATTTTCTACACTGAATGATTATAGTAGAGCATGATGCAGACATTCTAAACAATGAAACAGTATAATGTACCCTCACGAGCAAACTCGGCTTTCACTAGGGGAAAAAGTGACGTAGGAGAAGGGACTTCTAGCACTTACTAAAGTTATTTCAAGTACAGTAATTGGCATAAATTTCAATAACTCCCAAAACTGAATGGTAGGAGGCCTTTCACCAACCTCACATTTTCCCCTAGCGGAAGCCGAGTTTGCTCGTCAGTGTACTGAACAATCAATAATGAAACAATATGTTTTTATTTTGATGATATCAGGTATATATATCATCGTTGGCCCTTCTAAAAATGCTCAAACATGGACGTGCTGGTGTACCCATGGAGGTAATGGGTTTAATGCTTGGAGAATTTGTTGATGACTACACTGTTCGTGTCATTGATGTGTTTGCTATGCCGCAGACAGGAACAGTAAGAAAGAGTATTTTTTTATGAGAACATAATCATTAATATTATGCTCTTTGTAACTTGTTTATCACTGTAATATTCTTTATGTCCATTCAGGGAGTTAGTGTGGAAGCAGTTGATCCAGTATTTCAAGCAAAAATGTTAGACATGCTTAAACAAACTGGCAGGCCAGAAATGGTCGTAGGATGGTATCACTCTCATCCAGGATTTGGTTGCTGGCTTTCTGGTGTAGACATTAATACTCAACAATCTTTTGAAGCTCTTAGCGAAAGAGCAGTAGCTGTTGTTATTGATCCCATACAGTCTGTGAAAGGAAAAGTTGTTATCGATGCTTTTAGATTAATTAATCCAAATATGATGGTAAGCACTCATATAAACGAATATTTTCTTTTAGTTCATGAATATGTAGCAATAACATACAGAAAATCTACAGGTTTTGGGACAAGAACCCCGTCAAACTACATCCAATCTAGGTCATCTACAGAAACCATCCGTGCAAGCCTTAATTCATGGATTAAATCGACATTACTACAGCATTAGCATCAATTATCGTAAGAATGAACTAGAACAGAAAATGCTATTAAATTTACACAAAAAGACATGGATGGATGGTCTTACACTTGCTGAATATTCAGAACATAGTAGGCTCAATGAAAATATTGTGTCTGAAATGCTTGAACTCGCCAAAAATTATAACAAGGTAAAATATTAAAAATATGTGAATATTTAAGTTCTTGATCAAACATAATAATCTGAAAATGTTTTCTTATTAGGCATTAGAAGACGAAGAAAAAATGACACCTGAACAATTAGCCATAAAGAATGTGGGTAAACAAGATCCAAAGCGACATTTAGAAGAGAAAGTGGACACACTTATGGCTACAAACATTGTTCAGTGTTTGGGGGCTATGCTTGATACCGTTGTATTTAAATAATTACTTCTTAAAACACCATTTGCAATATATTATTAAAAATATATACATCTTTTTAAAACATACGTGTTCATAATTTATACCCAACACAAATGGATACGATACATGAATGTCTTGTTTTTTTTTTTTAAGGTTTTTGTATATTTTTTTAAAGTAAAGGTAAAAAGTATATTTGTATATTTTTATTTATAGTGTATGTAAAGTTTCACAGGTATTCAGACATTACATATGACTCATAATCTGTTATAAAGACAACGAAATATGTATATGTCTGAAATAAATGAACTGGTATAGATGATATCTATGATGTTAATTGATACACAATTTAAATTTTTTGCGTTGCACATTATTAGATACGTAAATTGAAAAAAAAAAAGATTGCTAGAGTCAACAAATCGTATAGGAATATTTACTCATATCTAAGAACTATTTTGATAATTTGCAAATAAAATTCATTCACTATGTACATTTAAGACTTGTATCAATATACACATTCGATATGAAATGTATAAAACTTAACTTCTAACAGTAACATTTATTTTATTCTTGCTGTTTCACTTATAAAAAGTAATACAGTACTACTGTAAGTTAAGTTTTTGAATATAATCTAACTGGTTAGTAACCCTTTGCACTCCAAGATTCTTTTATTCCGAATGACTAGTGACTGCAAGATTGAGTAAGAAGTGAATAAGTGGTGTTTTTTCAATGATTTAAATGTAGTTACAACGATTTACAGTGGTGATATATGTCGCCTTAACAGCGTTAATGGAATGCAAAGAGCCAATTGTATATAGCTTGATTTACGATCTGTACAAGTTTACAGAACATAAAAGATATACTCTTTAACTTAATAAGATTGAAAATATATGTCTGAAACGATGAATCTTTTCTCCAAATTAAAACTTGTAGAATTTACTTTCGGAAAGTAGTCTTTTTGCAGAAGAATTTACGTTCCTTCATTCGAAATTTCGTATTTCTTTACAATGTATGGAAAGATTATTACATTCTGTTAGTAATTATGTACGTTGAAAAAATGTTTTCAACTTGAAGTTGGTGCTTCTTGATCTTTATCTTTCTTTTTCTTCTTCTTCTTCTTCTCTTCTTTAACTGGTGTTTCCTATAAATAAAAATATTGGTTAGGACTTTATACTTTTGAACAATGTTAAACATGATCTTACCTCAGTTGCACCTTCAGGACTCACAACCATTGATTCTTCAGCTTCAGATTCTGCCTTTTCCTTCTTCTTTTTCTTCTTTTTGTCCTTCTTTTCTTTTTTCTTCTCTTTGGGCGATACAGTTTCTGGATCTTCAGTTTGTTCTTGTTTTATTGAAACGTCTGTTGTAGCTGCTGGTATTGTTTCATCCCATTTACGTTTCTTTGCCGTAGCATCAGTATCCCCATTTTCCTCAGTCTTCAAGAAAATAAAACGTAAGTCAAATAATTTTACAGAAATACATTTAGAGAAAATAAAACTAAGAATGAAAATCAATGTTTACCTTAATTGCAGTTGCGGTATAGTCTGTATAATTAGCCAACCAATCGGATGGTGTATTCTCGTTTGGTTTTCCATATTTGTCTAACTTTCCTTCTATAATCATACGCTTTTTTACTGAAGCTTTTGGTCCCAAACCCCACTTCCTAGGATATGCATCCCTCTCCATAATTACTCTTTTTATTTTTGCAGCTACACCATGATCACAAGCAGTCATTGTCGGAGATGTCATTAATGCTATAGCTGTAATAATAAAAAGAAGATTATAAGCTATAATCATTTAATTATTCTGTAAAAATAAAAGTGTTAAATATTCTAAATACACCAACACTTGAGTTAATGCTACGAATAATGTACGGCGTTGCTATATTACTTTGAAAATCTATTTACCAAGTGCTATAGCTTCGCCCTTAGTTGTTACTATTACAATTTCCTGGTTTAGTTCTATGCCATCATCATACATCAGAATACCTGGCAGCATGATTTTAGCCCCATAGCAAATAGCATTTACCTATCAATATAATTTTATTCAGCATCATGAATGATAGGTTATCTAAGTACAAATATTAGTTTATAAAATGGGTAATGAATACATACTGCACTATCCTTCATAATAATTCTTTTATGATTTACAAGAAGAGCTTCTAGAGGTTTAATCACTCTTCTTAAGTATGATTCATCTCCATGGTTTTCATATAACCACTGAGCATCAAGTATATCATGCATAGTAACCATTCCATCTTTCTCAGATTGTACACCTGACCGATTTCTACGCAGCTCTTGCATTTGACAACCAGTGCCTAAGAAAAGGCCAAGGTGAACACAAATAGTTCTAATGTAAGAACCAGCTTCGCAACTAACTCTGAACACTCCCATGTTTCGATCCTCATCATAGTCAAGGAACCAGCTGTCGTAGACTGTTCTTACACGAAGCTGACGCTTCACTGCAGATATGAGCGGTGGTCGTTGAAACAGTGCACCGCGCAATTTTTCCAGTGCTTGATTTACCTACATTGTTGCACATTCGCAATTAATTTATCATTTAAAAACTATTTTTTAATATCTTGAACATTTACCCACCTTCTGAAGACTTTCAGGGGCAGAATGTAATTTAAAAACTGCAACATACTCTTTTCCAGCAGACTGTTGCGATTTAGCTAATCTGGTTGCTCTATCGATGCATACTATTAAACAACCAGAAACTTTAGGATCTAATGTTCCAGAGTGACCAGTCTTGTCTACTTTTAAAATTCTCTTTATCCATGCTACAACTTCATGAGATGAAGGATTACATGGTTTATCAAGATTAATGCACCCAGATTTTACATATTCAGACAAAGTACGATGCAATGGTGTTGAACCACTGGTTAAAGGTGTAAAATGCTTTGTACGGGTAAGCATTTTATCAAAATTCTGAAATAACATTAAATTCATTTTCAGTCATCAATCTGTAAAAATTATTAGATTTCAGGTCCTGACATAGGTTTACTTTTATATTAGATACCTTAAAAAGGAGTGGCCAATCCTTGTATTCAAGTTTTACAGGTGCATCAGAAGGTTCAATTTGACACTTCAGTGCCGCTTGCATCTCTCCAAGCGACTTCTTTTTACTTTTCTTTTTACTTTTATCTGCAATAACAGAAACAAAAATTAACCTATGAACTTACGTTTCTTTTAATCGTCAACACAAATAACCGGGCGTAATGACCGTGCAAATACGTGGGAAATGAATGTTACAATAATATAAGTACATGTAACGCATACAACACATTGTACTTCAAGTAGTATCATTAATTGGAACTCTTATAGAACATAAAAACACGTGTCTACCGCTAGATATCTAACCAACCAACTTATAACAAAAGGTAAGTATCTTCGTTGATCCCTATAAGTAAAATAAGAATGAAGCGTGATAAACACTACATTCAATAACGTAATATATAAATTAGTTTAATAATAATTATCACCTTCTGCCATTTTGAAGCAAGTAGAAACAACACGTGCACCCCAGAAAACCGCTACTATCACCTACGATGCCAAACACGCGGGAGCGATTGCGTCCTTCTGTGATTGAATTTCACGAACAATGTATAGTGTAGATGTGCTATATTACTGTCTGTTCATGTTACAGATAAACCCCGTTGTATGTAACAAAATAGAGATCTGTATTGGGCTGGTCTATACCATGAACATAGGAATATAGGGACGAAGCATAAACCCCTACTTTAGGCGAGGGGAGTGAGCCTTTTCAGGGAGAAGGGAGGTACCATGGTTGCATTTCTACGCATGCTCGGTACCACGAATTACGAAAGTGATAATCACAAATTAATATAATGTCTAAGTTAACATTAAATAAGTGGTTATTAATGAACCGTTCACAGGTCAAAGTGATTAATTCTACTTTTTAAACATTTTATAACTTTGTATATTCAGAATTAAATCTTAATTTTTCATTTTGTGAAGTTAATCGATTTGGCGAATCGACGGCTCATTATTAATTGGAATTATGAAAATAATGAAAATTGAAGGAAAATATGCAAGTTCAATTATTAAAATATATAAGATGAATTAAAATAGAGATATTGATTTGAAATCTTTTATTGTTCTAAATAACAGAAACAAGAACAATAATATAAATAAACTTAAGTAAGTTATATAGTTGAATAAAACCAAGTATATTTTAGGTATGTTATATCATTGTTTTATTGCTCTTTAAAATTAAAATTTCATTAAATAATTGTCGTTGACTATTTGACTTATCTATTTTATTTAATCCTACATAATATAGACGAATCTTAATGTATTTAATACAAATTAACCGATGTTACTTTCCGACGCTACAAAAATGTCTACCACACTACCACGTCTTTTACACACGTGCACAGCAGCAGCCAATAGAAATTAGGCACACTTTTACCTCGTCGCCCCTCACGCAAAGGTATCGTCATCGCAACGGTATGCTCGGTCCCTATATTCCTATGTCCACCCACGAGCAAACTCGGCTTCCACTAGGGGAAAAAGCAATGTAGGGATTAGGGCCTCCTACTGCTAGATAATTTTATTTCAAATACTGAAATGTAAATCAAATGTTAATTTGACATATATTTCAATTATTCCTAAAACCAAATCGCAGGAGGTTCTTCCCCTACGTCACTTTTTTCTCTAACGGAAGCCGAGTTTGCTCATGAGGGTCCATGGTCAATACAAGCAACCCCCACTCTTTCACCGAGTTTTACCAACTAGAGACCCTTTGATTAGAGGATCTCTATTACCAACTAGGTACACTTCTCTATTACCAACCGGCAGATAGCGTTGTGATGGTTATCTTTATTTAAACCAGTCCAAATCAGAACCATTGTCCAAACCGACCAAACTGTTATAATGTCACTTCAATTTATCCAACTTCTTTACCCGATTTATTTAGTAAGATGAATAGATAACTGTGAATGTACTTACCTAAATATAGTCGGTATTTCAAAATAGACATACATAACTAAAGTACTTTACTTACCTTCTGTATGTTTCAAACTGAACCAATGAGAGGTCCATTACGTGCTCGTCGAGTCGCTCGTCCAATCGTGTTGCGATACCTAACTGAACAGTAATAAAAAAATCAGAGATTATCAAAATAAAAGATTAAAATTCTGTAGTATTTACACTATGTAGTATTACAAGCATTTAAAGTGGACAACGAAATACTATAAAAGTATGTAATACGAAATAAGAGTAGAAAAATGTAATTTATATTCAATAGAAGAAACTTTTTAATGTTCGTTTGTTATGCACCGACTATTTCAAATTGAAGTGCAATTTCCCTCCAGTTCCAAAGGGGATATATTCATATCTGAACGTGTAGTTTTTCATAAATTTTTTATGAAAAGTGATAAAATTCGTATACTCGTTTAGGAGTTATTAAATTTTTGTAATGGTCGTCCGTAGTTATTGTATTTTTGTATTTTCTGCTCGCCGACCGATGCATTCTCGTGCATTCAGTCCAGCGTATAGCACGTTAGCATCTGGTAGTCGTAGAGTGGGTTAAACGCTCTAAATACAAAAAATATTCCCATGTAGAAGATTAACGCAAAATGTTTGTGGAAAACTTAGAAAGAGATTTCTACAAATTAATAAGAGACGACGTGAGTAACATTTTCAACTTCATATTTTTTACGAGTCCGTTAACTTGGTGTATTTATAGAGGTTAAACGCTTTACCTCCCTATTGTTATTTCTCAATTTTAAACGATAATATTTTTAAACTTTACATTTGCTTCGGAGCTATAATTGTATTTTAGTAATTATGCTCGAAAGTTTTTATTGGCGAATAATAAATATTCATCAGATTATTTTATATTAATCATCAGGCAAAAAGATATTGAAATCATTGATATTAAGGAATAATTACATTTTTTAATGTGAGTACATGTTGTTACTTCATTCTTTTTTTTATTATAGAGGTGTTTACTGTTGGTAAACTTTGATGTTGATGCGATTTGTGCCTGCAGAATTTTGCAACAGCTCTTTAAAAATGATAACATGATATATACACTTGTGCCTGTCCAAGGTATTCAGGATATGGTTCATGCCTTTGAAGAAAATTGTGAAGAGGTAAAGAAAATATAAAGAAATATATATACTCTTGTACAACAAGATCAATGATTATTAATTGTTATTTGTTTAGATAAAAAACGTTATTTTAATAAACTGCGGTGGTACATTAGATTTAGTGGAATTACTACAACCTGCAGAATCTGTGATATTTTATGTTATTGATAACCATAGGCCATATGATTTATGTAATATATATTCAGAACATCAAGTTCGTATACTTGGCAAACCTGATGAGGATGACGAGATTCCAGAGTATAATGAAGTCTTCAGAGATGATTCGGTAAATGTTTTTTTTGTTTGACACAAAACTATAGACCCTGAAAATAAAAATAAATGTCATATATTGATTTTAGTCTGATGAGGATGAGGATGAAGATTTGGAGAATGAGGAATCTCAAGCAAAGAGACGAAGATTGAACGAAGAAGATATTGTTAAGAGAGCTGAACGAAGAAAATGGACAGAGAATAGAGCAACTATTCTGTTCAATTATACACAGTATAGTTATTATGGCAAATCAGTATGCATTAAGCTAACATATACAGGGTGGGGCAATAACTATGTCCACTTTGAATATTGCCGATATTTGTAATAATATGAAAAAATGTTATAAACAAAACTTACACGGTATAGAGGGGGACATATTGTGACAGAAACTTATCGAATTTTGTCGCATTTCTCCATAAATGAGGATCATATCCACTTGCTCTTCGAAAGAAAACTTCATTTTGATGATCATGCAGCTACTTGACTTAGCAATCGACCGATACTGACTACCGATTCATGTTAATGTTACGAACTGATGAGATGTTTACATTTCTAGCTATACATGATGTATTGCCATAACATAAACAATGTTACAAGACCATTCGTTTATGTAAAAGTGAGGGTCTATGAAATAATACAGCATGTGCTAGAATAAGTTCAGAAACGATAAGACATGCACGTGATGCAGCGATACGAAGATTGCAACTTTGCATTGACGTAAACGGTCACCACTTGGAGCACCTCCTGTAATGTAAGAAAGTTTATTTCACTGCCACATTTGACCTTGCGTGACCTTCAATGATAGCTCGCTGAAGTCGTCTCAACACCGGTTATGACATCGAGATAAAAAAAACATAGCATTCCATTACAAAAAATAGAGATGACCTTGAAATCTTCTCTATGCCTTCATCCACGCAGAAAATGTTTGTGTCACAATATGCCCCCCTCTATAACGTGTAAGTTTTGTATATAACATTTTTTCATATTGTTACTAATAACGGCAATATATAAAGTGGACATAGTTATTGCCCCACCCTGTATAATCAATGAATTGAACAAAAATAGTTCTATTTAAACAACTACGGTAACGCTTTACAAGGTTTGAATACTACACCCTCAGAAGATTTTAATTTTTTGTTCTCCCAGTTTAGGTATCAGTTTCTTAGCAATCCATCAATCTACTACACTCAGTGGCCAGAACTTCAAAGACTGCCTTAATTCCATTATATTTTCACGAGACTTTTATCCGCCGGATGGTGAGATTTTACTAATGAAAATGAAACTAAACACGGCACTATTCAGATAATTTTAAATTGTATTATTCAGGAATGACGACGAGTATAAAAAAGCGAATAGTAAATGTAATTCTGCAATCATTTTTCTTTATTGATAACTCGTTTCTGTCTTCCTCTTTTTCTACTTTTCATTACTATTTCTGTAATACAGTAAAGATGACAATGCAATTACAAAGTCAATAAAGCAGTATCGTAGGGATAGAACACTGTTGTACCTTGCTCGTTTTCGGTTTGTCTTGTTTTCTTACTCTTGCCTGTTTATAGACGCGTGACAATCCTCGATTTAGCATTAAAAATGGAGTCGTTACGTAGTCTGAAATAATCCTGCATTTTACGAATCTTGAATGACTGGTCGAACATTTTTCGGATCTTGTGAAGCGTTGCAGTATCAGACATTTCATTATACTTTTTGCTTTTACAGAGTGCAATGCTTGTCTTTGATATGGCATGGAACATGTCCAAAGACAGTTTGGATATGCTTTGGTGGGCTATAGTTGGCTTTACAGAACAGGCCATTCTTGGTAAAGTAGAAACAAGATCGAGTGTTCTTGAAGAGGGAGCCCTTCACTCTCATGTATCTAGGTTAACTCACAGACAAGGAGGGGAAGTTGAAAAACAACAGCAGAGTACCATCAGGATTACTTACGACAAAGAGTATCCTTTTAAAGAGTGCTGTTGAGTAAATCATGTTCAGTTATTAAGTGTATCTCCGTGAAATCTAAAATTTTATTCCTTATATATGAATTATAGTCTTTCACTTGTATTGTATCGACACTGGACCGTAGAAGCTAGTCTAAGACATTCAGTACCAACTGCAGTGTCATTGAGATTATGGTCAATTAGAGGAGAACAAAGATTAAAGGAGCTTTTAGCAGAAATGGGTTTACCTTTAGAGCAATCAAGGCAACGATTTAATGCAATGGATCTCGCACTTAGACACGAATTTAGACAAATGATCGAAAAATTAGCAGGAAAATATAAAGTGGACTCTATTATTGGAACAAGTTTTACCCTTCAGTACGGTTACAGGTTCAAGTACTGTGCTTCAGACATAGTTTATGCTATGCTTGCCTTAATGGAATCCTCTGTAAGTCAAAAGACATTGTACAGAAGAGAGTCCAATAAATTGTGATAAAACTGAGAAGCACGACGTTTTATATGCAAAAACAAATCGAAACTGTGGACTATAATTTGTTCATGTACGTTACGTTAATGATGAAATCGAATTGAAAATTTCATGAATCATGCTGAGGTGATTGATGAAGTTTATTATTCACTTTCTCTATTTGTAGTAAACTTTGATGGTAGTATATAGTATACTACTTCTATCAATATTTACAATCACTAACACCCAAGTAAAAATAATAAGTAATAAACATGCGAACGAGCTCGTGATAAACGTACATAAATCTTCAAACTATATTGTTTTGAATATCAAAGCTGTTACATAAAAAATGTTACTGTACATTGTAGTTTTGTTTTTTCATGTAGAAACATTTTCTCGAGTGTTTTATGATTTACAAGGAAACTCAGTGTTAACTCTATGTTATTACTAGCAAAGTTGTTATTTACGTTAATGTTTTGATTTTACAGACAAAAGAAAAGTTGCCACAACGTTGCTTTTTAGATGCTCTGGATTGTTTATCACGCACTAAGAAAGATGTTCTAGAAGGCGGTATCGAAAAAGCGAAACTTATGCTTAGTAGTGTTTTTAAGACTGCCCAGGGTGTTTTACAAATGAAGCAAATTAGAAGCGCTGGCTCGTTTCTTTATATAATTATACCAGAGGGAAGTGTCGATAGTCATGTGTTCGCGCGTACGTATCCATTATTAATGTTAGCTCAATTTACTCTAAAAGCTTATGTCAATTCGTCAAAGAATAGAAGAGCACGGGAATGGCCGCTCGTAGTTTCTTCGATATGTAACGCAGAAACTGGCACATGTCTCGTGGTTGGTATACCACCGGAGTGTGAAGATCAACCAAGAAGGTAGATGTACGGTGAATCATTAAAATATTTTAAATATATTTCATTTAATCACAATAATTTTCATTTGTTGCAGTCTATTTGGAAGAGCTTTCGAACAGGCAGCTAAAAATACTAATTCTTATATAGAAGCAGACTACTTTGATACTACAAGTAGGAGACAGTTTCAGTGTTTTAAGATTTTGCCATTAATACATCTGCCTTTAAATAATAATGCTTGTTTTTTGTTTTAGTAATAAGACTGAAAACTGAGGAAAGACCAAAATTTTTGGATTCTCTGGCAGCCCTCCTAGCGTGAAACTTTTTAGTGACTTATTTGACGTATGAAAATAAAAATTCTCCAGCTATTATTTATTTTGTAGATAAACTAGTATAAATAGTAATATCAATGTCTTTTAAAAAATACGACGACGGGATCAATTTAATATGCTTTATTTTTGGTGACATGCTGTAACTCTTTGCTAAACTCGAGTTAGTAATGTCTGTTTTATCTGTAGTGACATGTAGCTTTAATCATATTGTAGATATGTGTATAAAGTACAATTATTGCAACGTATATGGTAGAAACTTTTGTTTATGTATGAAATGGTTAATGAAAACCCCGGTTGTCTTAATCATAACGATTGAAATCTAACTGCGAATGTATTGATCATTAGCGTATATTTAATGTAAAAATGATACTAGATATAATTTTTATATAAAAACAACTAGGCATGTAAAAACAAAAATTTCAATAAACTGATTCAACTTGTTTTTTTTATATTTGTTTATTCTTCACTTTGCAAAAGTTAAGTTAATCTTAAGACACGAGATCTTACAAAATCGACGACTATTTACCTGTATCGAAAACAGGATGGATGAGCACTTACAGGAGATGTTTACGATCGGAACATGTGCACTTTTCATAAAACCTGGTGCTAAATGTAAGAAATGGCATGTATAAACAAAATCCAAATATTAGCTGCTAATACTTTACCGTTGTTACAAAAAATTATTTCAAGATTAAACATTTTGTGGTATTTGCTTACTTCTACTGGAAAAGAATGACAAAACGACTTTGTGTACAATGAAGGCAGCTAGATCGTGAACTACTGTTTCGGACACTCGAATTCAAATGCTAGTGGGAACGTACATTTTTATACTTCTTCTTTTTATACAGTAATTTTCTTTAGCCACTATTCATATCAGTTAAACGGCCTTGCAGTGATTTAGTATTACAGTAACAAAATCAAATTAGGTACATGTGTTTTCAAGTAGACTGAATGGAATGGATTAACAAATTTATTAATGTATTGTAAGTATAAACTTTGTAAATATATTTCCTCACTGTATACATATATTGTAATTATAAAATTTAATTGACTTTATGTACGACATCGAGAAAGCCAAAAAATGGGGTTTATATTAGCTGTAAAAAATATATATGCTTTCAAGCCTCCAAGACGTAACAAGCTCGGCTGTTGACAAAGTAGAAGATACATCCCTTTTTAGTGGACGTAAGCGAATAGAGCGAAATGGTTAATCTTTTATAATAACTTTTCATACGATTGACGAAGCGTCAATAACTCACATTCAGGGCGTCTCAGTTAATTTGATCACCTCGAATAATAACTTAACGGTACGCTTCATGAAAATTTTGAGACGTGGAACTTAAATGGCATCAAGGGGCACAGCTTATAAGATACGTGCTTTTTTTGTGAGTGAAGGCATTTCTGAGATTTCAAGGTCACCATGACTTTTTTTAACAGAATGACCTATTTTATATACCATAGATCGATATAGTATCAAATTCTGAGTAAAAATATGTTAACCTTTATACGTTCTAAACCTAATAGTTAATGAGATATTTACAAAATAATCACTGTATTGAAATTGAGGGGCATCAATTCAAACACCTATAGCTTCCAGATAGTAAGTACGCATTAAAGATTATTTCGTAAATATCTCGTTAACTATTAGGTTCAGTATGTGTGGAGGTCAACAAATTTTTACTCAGAATTCGATACTCTATGGATCTATGATACACAAAATAGGTCATTCCTTTAAAAAAATTACGGTGACCTTAAAATCTCTGAAATGTCTCCACCCACAAAAAAAGCACGCACCTTATAAGATGTGCCGTTTGATGCCATTTCAGTTCACCGCCTCAAAATTTTCATAAAGTGTACCGTTAAGTCGTTATTCGATGTAAAAAAGGTAGCTGAGACTCTCTGCATACATCCTACCCTACAATTTAGACTAGGTTTCATTAAACAAAAGGCGCCTGTTCCGATCGTAGACTTTTCTTAGTAGTACCTCAAGATACGTTCGCATGCTCATTTGGCGTTCAGTACGTAATACATTATAATATATTAAACGTATTCGTGTGCATGTGTACACTTAAAAATACAATTCGCTCAATTTTTATTGACTATGATATATAATACATGTCTTTTGGTTACGTCCACAAGGGGTGTACGAATACAAAGCGCGCTTCCGCGCGGGAAATCCTTTCTACTCAAAGGAGCAATGGTATCACAGAGATAGGATCGAGAAGAGAGGATTGGGGTTTCTTTATTCTGTGGCTGTATAATCACCACTTTAAAACCTAACTGCTCCATCCTTCGTGCATGGTCTTTAATAATTTATATAAAACTCGCGCGTTGATTCGCTCAGATTTAAATGGGAATATGATCGTTTTTGTCAGTTTTGTGTACTGTGGCCATTTTGTTTATAGGTAATTTATCATTACGAAACCCATCTACGAATTGTTGTACAGAATCCACAGTTATTTCGGCGCCATCCTCCATTACTACATACACTCCTCGTGGTATGTCGATCGCCGTTAGGAGAGGCACAGCATCGTCAAGACCCACGAATTCACGAAGGATATCTGACGTTTCACCCTGTAATAAACATAGTTTAATATTAGTTTAATATTTTTTTAACAGGATCTAAGGAAAAGAACTATAAAAATAATACTTATAGTGTATTTACATATTACATTAGTATATTTATATTTTTAAAAATAAGGGAATTCTTCTATTCCTAAGAAAACGAATAAATAACTGTATATCTAATATTCGTTATCTCAAAACTATTAAACCTACATGTCTGATATATTTAAAGTGGTTACATAGCAAATATTTAATGTTTATGAATTATTATCTAGTACGATACTTTCTTTAATCCTCAGATATTGAATGCGTCTATAAATTTTGACATACTTTAAACTTGTCCGGTACAGTAAATTAATACTTACATCTAACGCTATATAAAATTGTAAAATATCATCTGGATCATCGTAATTTGGATCATAATCAGGTCTGTCTTTTCTATATGTCTGTGCAGCTGGCACTAACACACCTTCTGCGAATTGAATCTCACAGTCATCACCTTCTGTAAAAGCGTTACCATTCATTATTATCGTTTTGTCATTCAGATAAAAGAGGAGCAATTAAAAATGTAACATTTCAGGTGAACTTACCTACAAATAATATAATTGCTGGTGCATCGTGCAACGAAGTGGCATATTTTTCTGTTAAAATATTCACCAAACGACTGGTCCATGGAAAATTCTAAAAAATAAATACAAAGAACTATATACTGAACAATTAAAACAGAATGATATGTACACCAAATTAATTTACAAAGTTGATAACATGTTACGTTTTCAAAACAGTAAATTAAAAACTTCTTCAGGACATCTTCATGACATAAGTATAATTTCTTATGTTTTCTAAATTTCAAATTTTATTAGAACTTATTCTTAAAAGAAAATCCTTTTCCTTCAGATGAAACCAAATGAAAGAGCACAAGTATTTTGTAATTTTTCACGAGTACACTTATTTTTTGTTTATGATCACATGCAATAAAGATTGAGTCATAGACAGAAGAATAAACATGCGTCCTTCAAAGTACTGTAGAAGATCGTTTAATTCAAAACTTTTAAGACACTAAAAACTTTTTCCAATAGAATTGAAGTGTTTGAAAGTTTTTATTTACCAGCCCTTCAGGATCCTCAAGCAATTCCGCCCGACCGTCCAAAGTTATAATATTATCCCGGGGATCGAGTATCACTAAAGTTGGTATTGCTTGTACGTCAAGGGCTCTCGCTAATTTTCGTCGTCTTTCCTCCTGACTGAAAGGTATCCTCAACCAAGGCATCGATTCAATATAAACGTTATAAGATTCTTCACTCCTGGAAACACGTAAAGTATATATTCCAATAACACTTTATCTTCACAATCAGTTATTAATTCAATATATGATTAATGAATCGTTATCGCATATATGTACACAGGGTGTCTCATTCAAATCGATCCCCTCGAATATCTCTGAAATTATTTGTGATGCCGGAAAGTGTTTCAAACAAAAGTTAAATGGTATAGAGGGGGGCATAATTTAATGTCAATAGTTTTTTTGTTGGTGGATGCGTAGCAGACATATGAAGGTCAACTGTATTTTTCTGAGTGGAACCATATATTTTTTAATGCATTGCTCGATGCAGCTCGCCATTTCCTGTAAAAATTTATTAACGTATTTATACCAAAAAACCATTAGTCTAGGAGATATTTTAATTCAAATATTGGCACAGTGGTACTAGTGATACGATGTTTACCGTCATAAAGTTGATGTTCACAAGTACATCCATAGATGTCGAATGTAATTTTGAAATTAAAATAACTGCTAAACTAATGGTTTCTCGACGTAAATAGGTTAATAACTTTTTATAGGGAATGACGAGTTACATCGATCAATGCATTAAAAAAATATATTGTTCCATTTAAAAAAATTAAGTTGACCTTCAGATGTCATCTATGCTTCCAGCTACAAAAAACTATATTGACATCAAATTATGCCCCCCTCGATACCATTCAACTGTTGTTCAAAACACTTTTCAATATCACAAATAATTTCAGAGATATACAAGGGGATCGATTTAAATGGAACACCCTTGTATATGTATAAATAATTAAAAAATACAATAAAATATAATTGACAAATAATCAACCGGTAGACTAGATCAATTAAAATAGAAAACGAAAGAAAAACAAATGACGAGAAATTAAAATAAGGGTGAGAATGGTACTATGTACGGTAATAATGTTCTTTAATAATCTATTTTCTGTATCAAATTTTCGAATTCAATTTCATGTTGTCTAAGTTCGTTTTCGTCCAACAAGATACGCTTAGTACGAACATATTTTATTCTACATTTTTTTTTACTTGTTTTTGCACGTAGAATGCTCTCCTCGGTTGTAGCACCGGTCGCAGGACTTCGTGAGTAACTAAAGAGAATAGTAACTAAAAGTAAATAAACAGAACAGCGGTATGCAAAACATGAATTGTGCGATATTACCTATCCGAACTGACGAAGATCACCTCGAAGTCGTGACCCCTTTCCCGAATTCGCTGGTAGGTGTCCACGAGTTGGGGGGTAAATGCTTTGCAAGGTGGGCACTGGTACACAAAGAAATACATGTATATATACACATATATCGTCTCCAATAAAATATTATCGGGTTCCAATAAACCTCCATTCATCCAATTCAATTGGGGGGTAAAGATGATTCAGATAACTGAGGTCTATCGGACAACAAAGATTGGTGGAAGAGGTAGTCACCAGAGTTGGGCAAAATGTAATCTAATTACAAAATCTAAATTGCAATTACAATATAATTGCGGGACAATTATAATTATAATTACATTGCAATTTTACAATTACATTGTAGTTTTTATTGTAAATTTAGTATAGTTAATTACAACGTAATTGTAATTGTCTTGCAATTACATTGTAATTGTGATTTGGATTTTGTAATCAGATTACATTTTTCCCAACTCTGGTAGTCACTAGCTTAAGGGATCTTCTTCATTTCAACTTGGAAAATTCGTTCTTCTTTTTATACGACATTGGCGTACGTTCTAGATTGCGGATGTTCATGCAAATATAAAGGGTGACCTACGCAATTGGGACAAGCTATATCTTTAGAACGGTAGGAGGTAGAAGAAAATTTCATTAAGAAAATTTAAATATTGTTCCGTGTGATGCACCACGTGGCGCGTGTTTCTGCTTTGCGAGTGAAGACGTTTCAGAGATTTCAAGGTCATTTCTATTTTTTTAAAAATAGAACAGTATATTTTTAAACACATCAGTTGATTTGTTTTTTTATTTTCTGTAAAGAAGTATTAAGGTACATGTGTCGAAAAATTATTAGTTTAGATGATCCGCTCAGTTTTCTGTATCTTTTTCGACATAAATATGCTAGTACTTTTCTACAGAGAATAAAAGAACACATCAATTGATGCATATACAATAAAAATATGTATATATTTCCATTTAAAAAAATAGAATAGCATTTCTTAAACATGAACTTTTCGAACAACCCGATATGTACATATTAACCAACCTTTAACTTTTAAATGCACAATGTTGCCATTTGGCAACGTAACTATATTTTCTAATGTAACAGCCACATAAACACCTACTGTATGATGTATTCGAATGTATATGTATACGTATACAGGGTGGCTCATTCGAATCAACCCATTTGAATATCTTCGAAACTATTGATGATATTAAAAACTGTATCAGAGAACAGTTAAACGGTATCAGGGGATACACTATCTAATGCGAATAACTTTCGTCTATGTAGGCGCGTACAGGTCATATGAAGGTGAACTTCGTTGTTTCCAGTGCAATCATATATTTTTTAATGTACTAATTCGCCATAAGTGACTTAATATTTTATGTGGAGAATAATGTGTAGCATCAAATAGTGCATTTGACCTTCATATGACCCCTACGCGTCCACATAGAAAAAAGTTACTGACATCAGGAAGTGTGCCCCCTGATACTGCTTAACTTTTGTCTGAAACATTTGTTAATATCGACAATAGTTTCGAATATATTAGATTGCTTCTATTTAAATGGGACACCATTATACTATAAAAGTATAAAATATCGGCAAAAGCGAATAGATACAGCGTTTTTCCACGAATAGATTGAACGCAAGAAATATAACAAGAGACCAAACTGGAGATTGACCTACAATCCGAGATTTGAAAATTAGGTCTAAATTTCTCACGTACATAGGGCTTCAGACATACCAAATGCGAAAAGTGTGAAGTTGCATTATGTTTAAACAGAAATTAAGAACCGTACCAGAAATGTTCACAATGTAGTAAAGTCGCGTTAACTACGCAAAACTCGGGACCGCATGCGTGCAGTTAGCGTGGAATGTCACCATTTCAACCCCTCATAAATTTCGAGCTGAGCCTCGGCACAGGTCACCTTTGTAATGGAGGGCGGCGTCCTCTTTCTGCGAGACCATCTCCTTCTCGCGGAAGGAGGACGACGAGCGGGACCGTGAGGCGCGCGATCCCGCTCGTCGAGAGAGGAGGAGAGCGAGGCGGGGTCGTGGGGCCCGCACAGCCGGCCCCGACAGCGCCGGAGGGGTGGGGGGCGCCCCCCCCCCCCTAGGCGTCTCCTCGCTCCCCGCCAGGCGCGGCCTGCGTGTATGGGCGGGCCGGCGC